TGCGTCGACGTAGGAGCCGGTGGATCTCCAAGATGCCATCTCTTGCTCCATGGCAGCTATCCACTGAGAGGCCCAGGGTCCCGAGGTCGCCTCAGCGTAAGTGCAAGGGCTCGGGATGTCGAAGGCGTCTGGGGCACCCTCAGGGCCTAGCAATATAGAACACTGATGGGAAGCAGCCTCGGATAGAAAAGCAAGCTCGTACTGCCTGTCCTCTAGGACGTCACTGTCAAGGGCACGAGCATCCCTGACGGACGAAGGGCAGGCAGGGTCAGAGACCAAAGCGGTGGCGTAGTCAAGGCGGTGGGTAGAGGCGAAGTCAGCGACAGTAGCGACAAGAGTGTCAACACTCGAGACAGGAATAGAGGGATCGGTAACGAGGGAGGCAAGGACCCATGGAACAAGGGGACGAGCAGCACGAAAGGTAGTAAGACAGAGGGGGAGGCGCGACAGCGAGCGACGACGGAGGAGGAGATAGGAGGAGGCAAGGACGAGATGCGTGGGAAGAAGCAACAAAGGGTGAGAACTCTGAACAGAAGAGGCAAGACGAGCACAAGAGGGACAGTGAGCCCAGTCGTGGGACGGAGGTGTCGTGTGTGGAGACAGCACAGGAGAGGAGTTCGGCGGAGGAAACACAAAACCGTGGACAGGAAGGGGAGGAGGCGGCAGGGGAGGCGTAGGCGAGCGGTCAGGGGAGGGAAGGCCGAGCAGGCAAAGGGAAGACACCGGCGGTCTACTGCTGCTGCTGCTGCTCGACGCCGACACCTGGACCGCCAGCAGCACCATGACTACCTCCGGAACACTACCCTCCAGCATCCCCAGAGCAAGCACCTCCGGAGCGAGAACCATCTCCAGCACCGGTGCCACCCCCGAGCCCGCCGGGACAAGCCACGAGAGCAATAGCCATCGCAATAGGAGCAATAGCCCGCCGGGACAAGCCAGCAATAGCCGTTTGTGGACTCTGGGGGTGCTGGCGTAACAGCTGCGATGACGGCTACGGCGGCGACTGCGACGACGGGGGAGGGGACACCTAGGGAGAGGCAGAGGGCGAGAGCTGTGCAGCAGGACCACCAGAGTCGGCCGACTCCTCTATTGGGACAACCGACGGGAGGGGAGTGACTTGAGAGACACCAGATGGAGCAGGACAGGGAGGGAGGGGAGTAGGGGCTACTGGGGGAGTGGGAACCAGAAACAGAGGTGGGGAAACCGGGAGACCTCGGTGAGGAAAGTGACAGTAAAAGGAGACAGACTCGTCGAAGTCACGTAGGTGAAGGAAGCGGTGGACGGCGGGTGGTAAAAGTGCCAGTCAGACGAGTCAAGGGGGAAACCAAGGAAGACACTGAGGACAGTGCGAGCAGTGAGCTTGTCCGTACCAGAGGCACGAACGTGAGCGAGGCATCCCCAGACGTGGAATGCAGATGCGTCACCAAGAGACACGGTCTAGAGCAGGGTCGGTGATACCTGCGGCCGCTGGGAGTGGGGCCACAGGTTCAGCTGGTGAGCGGCGTAGCGAATAGCGTACGGCTACAGAAAATGGGGTGCACCGACATGGATCATGGAGGTACGAGCCACCTCCATGACCAAGCGGATGCGTTGCTCAGTGACCCCATTTTGCTGTGGGGAGTCCAGCAGGGTGTACGACTGGGTGATGCCCTCCACACGACAGAACCGGCCAAGCCGACCGGAGGCAAACTCGCCGCCATGGTCGGAATGGAGACAAAGAAGGGGGAGACCTCAGCGGACTCGCGCAGCTACGACCCACGGGATAAGAATGTCACGCACGTGGGCCTTCCGCCCCAGAGCAAACACGATGGTGAAGCGCGTATAGTCGTCGACAAGCACTAGGAAGTAGCGCTCTCGACACGGCCCAGGGACGGGGGCTGGACCCCAGACGTCCAGGTGCAGGGTCTGGAGTGGCGCAGTGGCAGGGCGAAGCGAGGAGGAGTGAGGAGCACGGCGCAGCCGGCCCTCAACGCAGGGCGTGTATGGCAGCGCAGGCGAGGGAGGCAGAATAGAGCCTTAAAATGGCAGAATTAGCAATGGCCCTCAAAATAGAGCGAGAGGTAGAGCTACTCCACTTAGGGCATTATACCAAATGAAAAAACCGCCCAGAGGCATATCCGCGGCGCATCCACGACCGACGGCGCAGGTCGAGAGAGAGGGGGATGCAGAGCTAGTGAAAGGGGGATGCGGAGCAAGTGAAGCTGGTAGTCGAGCCCAGTAGGGAAAAGATGGTCCCCCTCCCTCCTTGCTCTCATGCTCCCCCTCCCTCTTTGCTCTCATGCTCCCCCTCCCTCTCTGCTCTCATGCTCCCCCTACCTCTCTGCTCTCATGCTTCCCCTCCCTCTTTGCTCTCATGCTCCCCCTCCCTTTTTGCTCTCATGCTCCCCCTCCATCTCTGCCCTCATGCTCCCCCTCCCTCTCTGCTCTCATGCTCCCCCTCCCTAACTCCTCTCATGCTCCCCCTCCCTCTCTGCTCTCATGCCCCCCCTCCCTCCCTGCTCTCATGCTCCCCCTCTCGAATCCACATGCTCTCCTCCCCACGCTCTCCTCTTCCCTGCTCTCACCCCTCTCTCCCATCCCTTCTCTCCTGGTCCGCCTCTCTCCCTCCCCTGCAACTTGTTGGTGCAACCCTATGGCTTGCACTCGGCTTGTCGTCCTTATTTGAGTGTGTGCATGCATGGCATGGAATGACTTGTGAGTCTATGTCATTGCTATCTTGTGCTTGTGTGTGTGTTTGAATAGTGTATCACAATGTGGTTTGTGTCGGTCAAGACATTAGCGAGTTTTCACAACTTGCATGTCAAGTCGTCGTTTGCGTGTCGCATGCGTTTTTCTATTTTGTCGAGTGTGAAGTGTCCATCGTGTCACAGGTGTGTGCAGCAAGCCCTCATCTGCTCAAGAAGAATTTTATCTTGCAGAATGAAGACCAAGAGCTCAAGATTTCAAGCCCAAGGGAAGTGGATAAATATTAAATAGTAAAAATAATAATGCTACTTCATGTAATGTTACAGTACATTTCACTTGGTCCAGCCCCTTGTTGAGTTTGTTTCGAGTCCCTTCGTGGTTGGGGACCCTGTGGTGGTGTAACACCAACCTGGACCTCGGCTCTTGGGGCTTGTAGAGGCTGAGAACTATCTCTATCTCGATTCTTCTTGCTATGGTTGTACTTCTAAGACTATAGTGGCTGCTATACCTCCTGCTCCCCTTTCCCCTTCCGCTGCCCCTGCTCTCCCTCCCGCGCTCACGCTGCTCCCTCCCGCGCGATCACGTTGCTCTTCCCGCGGGCTCACGCCGCTCTCCCTCCCGCGCGCTCACGCCGCTCTCCCTCCCGCGCGCTAACTCCGCGCTCCCTCCAGCGCGCTCACTCCGCTCTCCCTCCCCTGCCCTCGCTGCTTCCTCCCTGCTTTCGCCTCAGCCTTTCTGTGCTATAGCGTCACTTGGTAGGTTCTGTCGCGTCTCTCCGTCCCTGCTGTCACGTCTCTCCGTCCCTGCTATTGCGTCACTCCGCCCCTGCTATCGCGTCTCTCCGTCCCTGCTGTCGTGTCTCTCCGTCCATGCTATCGCGTCTCTCTGTCCCTGCTGTCGCGTCTCTTCGTCCCTGCTATCGCGTCTCTCCGTCCCTGCTGTCGCGTCTCTCCGTCCATGCTTTCGCGTCTCTCCGTCCCTGCTCCCGCGTCACTTCGTCCATCGGGATGAATTATGCGCGGTTCGCAATGCTTAGCCGGTCGTCGCGGGATCTGCGTCATTATCGCTATCATTCCTTATGGTGCGCAGTTTCGTCTAGGCTTGGCTACGAGGGCGAGAAACCTCGTATGATGGCTAGTTTCTAGTCACTAGTTGGTCTCGACTGGGTCCCAATTTACAAATTTTGATAGCAACTCTCCATTAGCCGTTTGAGCTGAGAGAGAGCCAGGGGTTGGGCTGCTTGGGCGAAGGTGTTTGCTTGCCTTTCGACCAATCACGAGCCCCCTTTACAGCCACCTCGTCATTGCTCAGTTTCATCCGGGTGCATGGGGTTACCAACCTTTTTGCGGCTCGATATTGCTAGCAAAAAGGCTCGCACCTTGCACCCTGGGATCTGGGCTTTAACCAACAACCAAGCACCCTATAATTTAGACCAACCAAGCACCCTATAATTTAGACCAACCAAGCACCCTACAATTTCGGTGGGCCTTCTGTTTCCATGATAATAATTGTTGGAATTCTTTCGCTGAGGATTTGTTTGCCGGCGAAAGTTTTCGCGAAATTGCCTCTGCCCCAACTTCAGCATAAATTTTCGCATTCCGTTTCAACGGGAAGAAAGCGCGATCCGGTCACACCAACGACCAGGGGTGTATTGCTGTGGAAAAGCTTCACATCACGTTTCGTGTCATGTCCGGACTGGCGAAAGTGCGGCCCGAAAAAAGTCGCTGTTGAGGCGTTGGGTGGGAGACACAAAAGATTGCTGCACTGCCCCTTGCCCCTTACCTTGCCTCCCCCCAACCAGAAAATTCTGGGGCAGGGAACGCCAGGCGCGACTCCGTAACCTTGCTTAGCCGCTTCCTGTTTGATGCAATCCCATCCGCCAATGATTTCTGGTTTGGGAAGACCGGGCAGCTAACGACACAATTCAGTGTCGCAGACGACGTCAGAAATGGGTCGCACACGCCTCTTGGGATCCGACAATTTGCAAGCCCGCGTCGCAGTCTCCCGAAATTTCTTCGTTGAAATTCGAGCTCCAGCCCTCTGTTCTGAGTTCTGCGAATTTGGGCGACCTGATGCGACGACACCAAGACAAGCATTCAGCAGCTGGGTACAATTATAGGCGGGCCATCCATGCTTTACAAATTCTGTCAGCCGCTTCCCGCGCAGGTAAAAACTTAGGTCTGACGCCGCAATTCACGCAAGGCGAATCGGTGCGAGCAAGAGTTTCCACTGTAACAGCGAGAGCAAGGCACGAACACATTCTGGGACTGTACAAATTCGCGAGTCTTTTCGGTATCCACATTACAATTGAACCCAAGCATCACATCAGCAGCTTACTGCTTCCGTTTTTCGCAACCCAGCCCGCCTCGATTGAAAGACCCAATCGCGATTGCCTTGCCCGCGCAGCGACGCAAGCCTTGCCGTTTTCAGTAGCCGATAAGCTCAATAGAAAACACCAGCTCGTTCAGCAGCCGGAGAACCAACCATGGCGCCAAACTCGCCCCTTGCCGGTTCCAGGCTCTCGCCCGTGCAGCCCTTCGCTCAGCCCGCCGGCTCGCCACAGCTGCTCCAGCAACACATGCTAGTCATGCAGCAGCAGCAGCAGCAGCAGCAGCAGCAACAGCAACAACTCCAGTTCCAATATGCCCAAGCTGCCGCCGCCGCCGCCGCCGCAAACTCGCAAGGAATGCTCGGCGCATCGACGGACAAGCCCGCCGCCGCGGCAATGGTGCTCGAGCAAGCGCGTCGTCGCCAAATGGCCGCCACAGCCGCCCTGCTACGTGCAGCCACATTTGGCAGAAACAGGATGCCGGCTGCCGGTTGCCTGGTGAATGGCAGTCACGGTAATATGCTGAATCAGCCTCAGCAGCAACTCCAGCTGCAGCAGCAGCTGATGTTCCAGCAGTACGAACAGCAGCAGAGGCAGGTGCTCCTGATGCTTCTGCAGCAGCAGCGTCAGCACAACGCGCAGCTGTTGCAGCAAATGGCGGCAGCCGCATCTCTGAACGCGGCCTCCAACCCCGCCGCCTCTACCGCCCGTGCATCGTCGCCGCACATGCAGCACGCGCGAAATCCGAACACGGAAGCCGTCAAGAAGACGTCGAGCGCAACCAAAATCCCCAGCTTCAACACGCCATCGGTCGGAGTGGCTAGTGCGAGTGCGGCGGCGGTGGCGGCAGCAGCTGGGGAGGAGCAGCGTCCGGGTTCGATGCTCGAATTCGAGGCGTGGTTCAGCCAATGCTGCGGGGACGACCTTCCGCTCGCCCTGAGAAAGAAGCTGGACGCCGCGGGTGCCGGCAAGGAGGCGGAGGGCGAGGAGAGCGGGGAGGAGCTGAAGCGCAGCAGCAGCAGCATGAGCAGCGCCAGCAGCACCAGCAGCGGCAGCTTCGACGACTGCTGCTTCGACACCCTGTCCTCGTCCGGCAGCAGTGCTGCCGGCGATTCTGACGTGGAGAGCTGTGACGGCGCCGGCGAGTCTGACGGCGACGAGCCTCTGCCGTCTGAGGGAGAATTCGAGTGGCACCTGATGTCGGTGCAGACGTCGTTCCTGTGAATGCAACGTGTAAGACGAGGGCTCTTCCCACGTGGGTCCAACCTGGGCTCGGCAAGGTTGGTGGAGGCTCTCTTGGTCTCTGTGCCATCGGCTGACTGTATCAACTCTCTCTCATGGCTGGCTGTCTCATGGTTGGTGTATCAACTCTCGCACCTCTTCCCCCCTCCCTCTATCTCTCTCTCGCGAACAGCATCAGCATCAGCATCCGCTTCCTCAGTAGCAGCATCAACGGGCACGTGCTGCCCATAGCTCACGGCGTGCACACTCGTGCTCCCTCATAATTCTGGCCTTCTCGCTCCCTTCCGAACGGTCTCCTGCTGTGCTTTTCTCGTTAGGCCGAAGTTTCGACATAGCATGCAACGGCTGGGGGCAGCAATAAGCGAGTAATAAGCGGCAGTGGCATGGGGCCGCTGTGCATGTCTGGGCAGCTGCAGTGGCTACCACTGGTTGCCGACTCGTGCATGCGTCAGCTCGTCAACTCCTCTTCGGGTTCCTCATCGCCCCCTCTCTCTCCCCTTCTCATGCCGCTTTGCAAGTGGGTTCTGCCATAGTTTCTTCTGGTCAGTGTACGATAGATGGGTCTCTCGCTCCCTGACCCGCCCCTCCTGCTGGCGATAAGGAAGGCGCGGGAGAGTAGCGCTTCTCGTAGGCTGGGCCTCGGCTTGTTGTTGGCTGGCGTCACGTGGAAAGGAGCTCCCCACTCAGGCAACAATCGCTGTTGCCCTCTTTTGGAACATCTCTAATCATCGGATTGTCCTTTCCTGTGGAGTGGTGCTTCTGCTAGGCAAGCGACCTAACATTTAGTGTCTCGTAAGGGATCACTATGTCTGGCTACACTGGGCGCACTGGGATCAGTCGTGTTTTGATTTCGCGCATGCCCTTCTTTTCGTACGGCTGCTGTGTCATGCTCCCTGTTAAAGCCCGACCAGCAGGTTGCAACTCTCTTTTCTCAAGATGCTTTTGATTGAATACAAAAATAAGTGAAAATTAGCTCTCATGTTATGATAAAGGAAGTGTCAATGAACTATAACGTGAGAATACAAGGTAGCTATTGCAATGAAGGCACGAGGTTATATAGGGATTGGCGTACTAGGGCGATAACCTCGGAACGTGGGTAGGTTCGGCAATGTGGCGACAGTGCCAGACGCGACTCGGGAAAGGGTTGGGCCGATAAACGAGGCCGAATGTGACGAGTCGAGGAGTTCGGGTGTACGCGCTAGCGTACGACTCAGTAAGGAATGGAAATTACTTACACTACCGCCCCCTCCTAAACAAGACCGCGGACATCGGATACATTCCGACGCTGATAATACGCTGCTAGAATCGGGTGGGATTCTAGCTCAGCGAGGGGCACCCAGCTGTCATCTTCTGACGTGCGATCGCGTCATCTGACGAGGAAATCCACCATCTGACGGTTCAGCTGCGCCATGACTCGATGGCCGAGAATTTTCAAGGGCTCGATGTTCAAATTATATAAGTTATACTTTATATAGGCTTGGTAGGTTGTTATTAAACCTTTTCTATAGAGGGTACAAACCCCTCCTTGTACTCCTCTCTCTTCCTAATCCATCTCTCTTTTCTCTCGACACTTTTCCTACCCTCCTAGCTAAACCCCGCCGCCACATTCATGGCGCCTTGTTCCTGCCTAGTATCCTAGCCTAGAGCTACTTTAACATGGTATCGAGAGCAGGACGTCCTTCCTGGGCCTGCTCCCCTCCGTGCTTCCGCTGCGTTCTCGTTTACTGCCTTCCGACTTCCTGCCGTGCCGCCGTGGCGGCCATGCCCGTTCCTGCCGTGCCGTCACGTCGTGACGCGTGGCGTCGACGCCACACTACTGTGACGGCGCCGTGCTTACCATCGCAGCGGCGACGTCCCACCGCTGCATCGACGCCGCGATGTGTCGGCGTCGTAATGCTGCCGTGGCAACGTCGTCGGACGGCAGCTTGCCGCGCGACGTTCATGGCGCCGCCACACCTGCTGCCCGCACGCCAGCCTCAAGCGTGAGGCTGGACCACGCCCCGCCCCCCTTCCCCTGTGTCCTGGATCTTGCCGCAGCCGACGACTGATTCCCGCCGGCCGTCCCACCCTCGCGGGGTCTGGCCACGTCACCGAGAGGTGCGTGTGCCGCCGCCGCCGCCGCTGTTGTCGAAGCCGCCGCCGCCGCCGCTGTCGCCGCTTGCGTCGGGGCCACGCAGCCGCACGCCGCCGCCGCCGCCGCTGTCGACACTGCCGCCGCTGCCGTCGTCGCCGCCGCAGCCCCTGCGGTCGACGTCGCCGCCTCACGCACGGTGGGGTCGACCGACCTAGTGTCGCTGTCCCTGTGGCTGGAATGGGGGTGCTAGGTTCGGGGGTGTGTGGTGTGTTGGGTGGGTGTGTGACTACCAAGCCTAGGGGGTGTGTTAAAATTATATAAGTTATAATTTATATAGGCTTGGTAGGTTGTTACTAAACCTTTTCTATAGAGGGTACAAACCCCTCCTTGTACTCCTCTCTCTTCCTAATCCATCTCTCTTTTCTCTCGACAATTTTCCTACCCTCCTAGCTAAACCCCGCCGCCACATTCATGGCGCCTTGTTCCTGCCTAGTATCCTAGCCTAGAGCTACTTTAACACTCGGTCGTTGATTCCTGCAGGGGCGTCAGTTGCGGGACACTACGGTGGCGTACCAACTCCGACGAGTTGGGGACGTAGGGCCGTAGAAGGCTGATGTGGAAAGCCGGGTGGTGACGCCAGTCAGCCGGGAGTCGGAGGTGATTAGTGTTAGGTGTCACCATGTTGGTCACTTGAAAAGGCCCACAGAATCTAGGGCGGAACTTGCTTGGGATCGGCAGACGCAAATTGCAAGTGTCATACAGTACGAGATCTCCCACTTTGTAAGTGACGTCACGTCGATGACGATCGGCTTGTCGGTTTGCGACCAGGTTGGCTTTCCTGATTGCCTCAACTGCTTTTTTTCAGGCGGCGAGGATGACTTGGGCAATTTTTTGGGACCGGGCCACGGGGGTCTCGATGTTCGAGGTAGAGGGTACCACTGGGTCCTATCCGTAATTGAGGAAAAATGGGGATTGATGGGTTGTGGCGGAGGGCGCGTTATTATACGCGAATTCCAGCAGCGTAAGGGATTTCTCCTATGTTTGTGGGTCAGTGTAGGTAGTCCGAATGAGTTGCTCCATAGTTTGGTTGACTCGTTTGGTCTGCCCGTCAGTTTGTGGGTGGTAGGCGGAGGAAAACTGTAGTTTGGTGCCGAATTGGTCCCAGAAGTGGAGCCATAAATTCGATGTGAATTTCGGGTCTCGGTCTGAAATAATAGCGGTTGGCACTCTGTGCAGTCGAATGACGTTGGTGATGAACAGTTGGGCAGTTTGCTCGACTGTAATTTTCTGTTGGCAGGCGATGAAGTGTGCCATTTTCGTGAGTCGGTCAACGACCACGAGGATAGCGTTGTTTCCGCTGGGACCGACCGGCAGTCCTGTCACGTAGTCCTTTGTGATGTGTTGCCAGGGTCGCTCGGGTGGATCCAACGGCTGTAGTAGTCCCGCTGCTCGCTGATTATGATCTGGCAGAGGACACGTACTTGTGCACGTCGTCGATCATGTTCAGCCAATAATTATTGCGCTGCAACGTCTTCATCCTTTTGTCGACTCCGAAATGCCTGGAGGTAGGGTTGTCGTGGGAATCCTGGATTAGAAGGGTGCGAAGTAAATCGTAGCTGGGTACCCAGATGCGGGCAGTGTCGCGCTTATTAAAATAGTGTTTGGTTGCGGTGATATGCTGTTGATGAATAGCAGAGCGGAAGAAGGGGTCGATTTTGTAGACGTTGGTAAATAGTCTGGTCTGCGCGACTAGTATGGCGGCTGTATGGGCAGTGGGTCGAGTCAGGACATCGGCAATGTTGTTGGCGCCTTGTTTGTAGGTGATGGTGTAGTGGTAATTTGACTTGAGGAAATCGAGCCATCGGATCTGTCGCGGGTTGAGATTCGGTTGGGCTCGCATGTACTAGAGGGATTTGTGGTCGGTCTGCACAATGACGTCAGCACCTGTCAGGTAGCCCTGTAAAATTATATATTTTGTTATATAATTGGTAGGCTTGGTAGGTGTTACTGCAACCAACTGTAGAGGGTACAATTCCCCTCCTTGTATGCCTCTCTCTTCTATTCTCCCCCTCTTTTGTCTCGTCAACTTTCTCCCAGCTAAACCCTCAGGCCATTTTTATGGCTTCCCTCCTACCTAGATCCTAGCTTAGTTTAAAGCCCGCATCTCATATTTTCTACCGACCAAAGGTATTACCTTTGGTGGGAGGGTCTGATTGGGGGGCGAGGGGCGAAATTTTGAAAGAGAGTGGGCGAGGGCTGCGACAATTTTGGAAATCGTGGAAGGTCCAACTTTGATGAGGCTTCGAGTCTCGTAATTCTGCGGACCCGTATTACCTTTGGTTTGAGCTCACGAAACGTTGAGGACGTGGATGGTGGGGGTTGGATTCTCAAAGTTTCGCAAGCAGTTGCAATTCCAGTGTTGAGTTTGGGCCGAAAATTTGTTGCTCGAGTCACTTTCGGGTCCTGATTCCGTGTACCCAGCACAGGTTCCAAAACCTAGCTTACTGCGAACGTGTTCTCGGGTTCGCTTTGCTGAGGTTGGATATCTACTCTCACACTCACTTGTGAGCCCTCGCACAAAGAGCAGCTACGTTACCTAGTACCAATCGTATTACCTTAGGAAATATGAGACGCGGGCTTTAACATGGTTTCAGAGCAAGCCCCTGTTGCTCGGGCCTTCTCCTCACGCTTCCGCAGCGTACTCCCCCCCCCCCGTCACGCCGCACTGGCCCCGTCATGCTGCGCTGGCCCAGTCACTCCGCGCTGGCCCCGTCACGCCGCGCTGGCCCCGTCACGCCGCGCCGGCCCCGTCACGCCGTGCTGGCCCCATCCCTCCGCTCCGGCCCCATCACACCGCGCCGACCCCGTCACTCCGCGCCGACCCTGTCACATCGCCGTGCCTCACTGCCTCAGTGCCGCCGTGTCGCCGTCCCGCCATGCCGCCGTGCCACGGTGCTGCCGTGCCGCCGTGCCGCTGGGTCGCCGTGCTGCCGTGCCGTCGTGCTGCCGTGGCGGCTTCGCCACGCCAGCGCACGGACATCTGCGGCCAGCGCCCTGTCCTAGGCGCCAGTCGTAACGCCCTCACGCCAGTAAGCGTCGCGCCAGCGATGGTGCCTCGCTGAAGTCCCCCCCCCCCCCCCGTCACTCTCGTCAGTGCTGTGCCTGCTGCCATTGCCATCTCCCGGGCCATGGATATTCCAGAGACATCGCGGCTGCTGCTAGAAATGGGGGAGCTAGGTTAGGGGGTGTGGGAGTGTGTGGGTTCTTAAATTCCAAGCCTAGGGGGTGTTTTAAATAATATTTTTTGTTATATAATTGGTAGGCTTGGTAGGTGTTACTGCAACAAACTGTAGAGGGTACAACCCCCCTCCTTGTATGCCTCTCTCTTCTATTCTCCCCCTCTTTTCTCTCGTCAACTTTCTCCTAGCTTAGTTTAACAAGCACCGCCAGGTCTTGAACGCGTGGACGATCGCCAACATTTCCTTGTCGTGTACCGTGTAGTTTTTTTCCGCGCCCTGCAGCTTCCGTGATTTGTAGGCGACCGGCTGTAATCCGTCGCCGAAATCCTGTATGAGAACTACACCGATGGCGATGTCGCTGGCGTCGGTGATGACTTTGTATGGATGATCAGGATCGGAGATGCGAAGGACGGGCGGCGACGTGAGGGCGATTTTCAGTTGGTCGAATGCAGCTTGCTGGTTCTCTCCCCACCAAAAACAATCGTGATCCTTGAGTCGGTCAGTTCGCGGGGCAGATAACCCAACCATATTAGGGATAAACCGGCGGACGTAGTTGACGAAACCCAAAAAACTTTGCTGTTCCTTGATGTTGCTTGGCAGCTTCCACTCCTGTATGGTCTTGATTT